TCCCTCGCGGCCTCCAGGTCGCCTTCTCCAACGTTGTCCAACGCCGTGCCGAGGACCTTGGACGCGAGCTGTTAGCCGTCGAGATTACTAAACTCTTCGAAGAAACTTATTTTCTTCACAAAAACCCCCATTTTAGCCTGGTTGACTACAGTATCACCCCTGACCGCTCACACTCTCCCATGCCTTCGGCGCTAGGCAAGACCCAGGACACGAAAGACCTGATCCGTATTTTTGACGGAGTTATCCTCGTGGACGGCAAGGAGGTTAAACTGCGTGGCCGTGGTAATGGGCCGATCTCCAGCATGGTTGCTGCTCTCAAGGGAGTTAATATCGACCTTGACGTTAACGACTATAAGGAGCATGCTATCGGCGAGGGCCGAGGCGTGAAGGCGGCTTCATATATCGAGTGCAAGCCTACAGGCAGCAAGCAGACAGTTTGGGGCGTTGGTATCCACGAGGACGTGGTACAAAGCTCGCTTATCGCCTTGTTGAGCGCCGCGAGCAATGTAAGTCTTATCTGCATAAGTGATAAAAGGAAGAGAAGGGAGTACTAGAGGGTCGAAGTGCAGAAGTCTGCCCCTATTTTACTCCCACCTTTCTGAAAGGATTTGATTGCTAACGACGACGTGCCTTTATTTGCAGTTCATCACGACGAGCCGACCCACAAGCCCTCTTCTGAAGCCTGTTGCAGCCCCTGCTCCTCAAGAGACGTCGAGTGTCGTCTCCATCCTTGAGGAGAAGGCAAACGGCATGTAAGAAAAGAGAGCAAAAAAATGGAGCAGAAGAGCTACCTGCCTCTTGTTTTGTTTAATATGTTTAAAAAACCATTCAAGTTGCATTCTTGCATACAAAAGGATATAGGCGGCGGGACTTTTCCATCTTAGGGAGTAGGTAAAATAAAAAATGGAAACAAGTTTTTAGTGAGTTGAATTACAGCTTCGAGGGCGGAGGCTAGAAAAGGTAGATGTTAGCCAGCATTCACCATGGCGAGAATCTATGGACGGTCTCACATGGCATAGGCTAATAGACCAGCCGCCCTACTACAAACTTTACCGGGACTACCATCAAAAACTCCAATCCTTAAAAACGTCCCAGGCGTACGCGAGGATCTTGAGAATCATTCGGTTAAGGTTGTGGATCCAATAACTTCACCCAGTGATACATACCTCTGGCGAGAGAAGCAATGGGCGATTCCCTCGTCCTAACACCTACGACAGATCTCATTTGAATATATATCGACATCTATCTACGTTATCTACGTTTCTCAAATGAGCGAATACAAAAGCTACAACTGCGGCTTTTGGACACTACTGATGGTATGTTTCTGTGAACACTTCTCACGATCGAGGATTCGAAGAATGGCACATTACAGCCTGACATATGCGAATGAGGGATCATTCTAAAGGGGTTCGGCCCTTTTTATGGACTTGTATTAGAACATCTTTTCAGAGAGCCGCCGAAGCGCTTGCGCGTCACCCAAGATAGCTTCGAGTAAGTCCTGAGTAGCTTGAGGGTATTGACTTGGCGGAGTTTCGATACAGCCTATTACTTACCTACGATTAGATACAAGATACGCAGTAAGTAGTAAAGACTGAGGCCCTTTTAAGTATACGGCCCTCAAAATCCCCCAGCCCTTCATTGAGTGTTACGAGGAGAGTGATGCAGTCCGAACTGCACCTTCAAAAGTGAACCACTTCATTGTGGTACTAGAAAACGATTATTATATTACAGGTCTCCGTGTATGTCTACCGACAGGACACAAAAGACTAATTAAAATTATCTTTTCTGCGTGATCCATGTTCAGATGCTGGCCTAGCTCGACGAGATGTAGTTCGAGCTTCAGTTGGAACTCCATACATGATAAAAAGGAATTCATCGAGCTGCCATCGAGCAGAGATATCAAAGATTTGAGCGCATGATGTTCATGCATGACCCCCACATGCAATGTATGGGCGCGTAATTCGACTGAACGATGGCATCGCGGACTTACTATCGGCCCAGGGACGCGGCTCTTAGTTTGAGACTTAGCGACACCATGTGGATACTTAATAGCCTCGAGCTTTTCTATATTGTGGCCAACGAGTTCACAGTGGTTAGGTGGACCTGCATATGCATATGCTCGATGGCTAGCGCATTGTCAGACTGCTCCATACCACACCATTGATGGATTTGGTAGGACTTCGCACCACACCCCGCTCTCCTATGCATAAGGTAATATAGGTAGTGGGTAAGACACAGCTTCCTCCTGAAGGTGATCCGGGGCACCAAAGGACAACGAAGACCAATACGTAAGACTGCTACCTCGTTGTATAACACCGTGTTACGAAAGTTTATCTTGGCCATTCTCCCCACTTCTTCCTCATCTCCCGTCTTGTACTCAATAAGGCGCACATAGGATAGCGATATCGGTATTGGGCTATTCATGAGGCCTCATTCCCTTCTGTGTTAGGAGTGTTGTGACAACGATGTTACCTGAGGAGAAGCCCACGTTGACCCCGGCCCTCCAGCACCTGCCGGAGGGCGAGCTTGATCACCGGACAGATGCCGAGATCGAAGAGCTCGTGGATACCTACCGACCAGTGAAGCACGAGAAGAACTGCTGGGCGTTTTGGCATTCGGGGTGAGTGGATCGTTGCAGACCCTTCTAAGTTGGGCTGATGCGACTTGTACTGAGGAGCCCCCTTTAAACACAGCTTCAAGAACATGCCACGATGGTGTAAACGGAATATTGTCGGCTGGGTTAGACGGCTGGGACCCGAATGGGATGTGCGATGCCTTGACATGGTGGACGGCTCGCCGAACCACGCGTCTAACTTCATAGGCGCGGAATACCTGCCAGACTGCTTCCTGAAGAAGACTATGACGGGGAAAACGCCTGCGCAACACGCGAGCGATATGGTCCGACTGCCTTTAGTGTATCTTGTGAGTTGACATGCTGGTTTAAGAAAGCGAATCAGTAAAGCTGACCTTGAACAAGCACGGCGGCATGGAACCCCCTAACCTAATAATCAACACTCATAAATGTTAATAATCGAGTAGGCGTGTGGATGGACTCTGGCACGGTGCTATTTCGAAGCTTCGACGACTCATTCTGGAATCTACTTGAGGACCCCGAGTGCCCGTACGAGGTGTTCCTGATCAACTTCCATTACCGAAAGCACCAGGGACAGATCCTAAACGGGCTCATCGGAGCGCGCAAGGGAAATCCCTTCATCGAGCGCTGGCAGCGGGTATTTTTCGAGATCTGGAAAGACCGCACCGACTGTGTCGGGCTCCGTGAGTGCACCAACCTACCTGCATACTTCCTACACTCAGAATTCCAACCCCCCTCCCCCGTCCAAAACTAAAGTATTGTATACTACTACCAGGCTATCACCCCCTGATCCGCCACCTAGGCCTCATAGACGGGACCAACGCAGAGCGCATCGGCATCGGCGGGCCCTCCGGCAACTCAGCGCACATCATGGTCGACTACCTAGCGCAGGACTACTGCTTCGAGCGCGTGCGTCTCGTCGTCGACGCCGCCGGGAACTGGGATGGCCCCGCGTACTACCGGCGCCACATGTGCTTCCTGCACACCGAGCGCGAGTACTGGAAGTACGCGGCCCTGATGCCCACGGCACTACACGGTCCGCTGATGGCACTGCCCTTCAAGCCCGAGCTCACGCTCCCATCAAGCACCTCTACTACTACTACTACTACGACTACTACGGAATACGACCCCATCGCCCAGCTCCCCGACGCAGCAGCGCTAGCCGCCATCCCGGAATCCGACCTCCACCTCGCCGTCCACGAGACGCGGCTGCAGCAGGCCGCGCGCGACTGGCTGACGAACATCGCCTCGAGCTGCCTCGCGGTCAAGTTCAGCGGGGGATACTGGTGGCCAGGCAGCGGGTGGGCGATGCCGCTGGCCGTGACGTGGGGGTTGCCGGGCCACGAGGACGACGATGTGGCGCCGGGGTCCTGGGCTGCGTGGTTCCGGTACGCGTCGACGCACATGCGGCAGATGCGGAGGGTCCCGGTGTATGGGACTCATGCGACGAGTGAGGCGGACGAGGCGCTGGTACCGGGGTTTCTGCGCGGTGAGGAGGAAAGGGTGTTGGTTGCTGGGTTGTTGGAGCCGGCGAGGGAGAGTGATGGGTGGGTGTTTATTCCGGCTTTTGAGACGTCGTGAGAAGAGCTCGAGGCGTTGTAGGTGTTGTTTGATTGCTGGAAGGCTTCAGTGTCAGTGTCAGTGGGCTGGACGGAGTCTCTCTGGGTGTACGAGATTCTTACGTAGGTAGGTAGTACTTGCCATTCCGCGTGTCGGTCATAGCCGTTAAGGGCACCGAGGACGATACTTCTCATGTTGGGTGAAGTTTCACTCAGGTACCGAACATCTCCAGTCCCTGACAGTTTGAGGCCGATGAGATCGTCGAGGAGGCAGGCTTATTATCCCACTCCCACTTTGACCGGCCGTCTCGCTTCGTTCAAGCACCCAAGATCTGAGGATACAAACGGCAGAGAGATGATAACTTCAAGTGTGCACAGGGAGGGATATGAATGGGTCACCATCCCGTATGACCAGCCAGTCAATGCCTCCCCCATCCCTGGCTATATAATAAAGGGGTAACTTGACAAGTTGTACGTCAAATATCATCATAGACACTATAAGTTCTACCTTAATCACGAGTCAAAGAAAATTATAGCCCTTAAGGATGCTGAATGCTAAGCGCACAATTATTGTGTAGGCAATAGTTAGTTGCCTGGTTCCCAAAGCTATTGTTGTGGCATTGATAATTAGCGTCTTATGACAACGTGCTTGATGAATATGTCGCTAAGTCCTAACTAAGGCTCTCTTGACATTCAAGGAGGCTTTTTTTAACATTGAGATGAAGTCTTGACAAAATAAATAAAATTTTGTTATTACTTTCTTGCTCTTATCCAACCTGCTTCCAAACAAACATAGAATTACATGTTTATGGTTATAAAAAGGGGTTGACTAGTGTGAAGCAAAAAGCAACCCAACGCGAGACTCGAACTCGCAACCTTCTGATGCCTTCCTATAGAAGTCAGATGCTCTAACCATTGAGCCAGCCGGGCTGTCTAACTAGTAAATGCTTGTACTGATTACTTCAACCGTCCTCGGAGATTTCGCAATTGAACTTTCCTTATCGGGGATAGGTTCTATTCTTTTTACCCCAGTCACAGTTTCTTCTATTTTCAAACCTCTATTGCACATCGCTAGCCTAGCGCTAAGGCGCCCAGGCGGTAAATGAGTTAGCTAATCGAATCAGCGCCACGAAGTGGGGTCTTGCTAACACTTTCACCCGCGCTTAAGACCCTGGCCTCCATATATATAAGTACTAACACTGCAATTGGAGTGCGAGGCCTCAACTTATACCTGGATCACCCGTACTTACCTAATCTTATATAGGACACCGAGACAAGTACGAATGTCGGCAACAAGAAGCCAGGCTATTCGTGTTGTGTTATAAGTATTAGGCAGAATTACTATATATTGTTAAGCATTAAAGAATATGTCGACGTACCGTGCAGTGGGCTAGTACCTCCATTTATAGAGGCGGATGTGTGCAGGGCGATGTACCCGCCACTGGATTTACCAGCCTCCTTGATTTTAACAATTCGAACACATATGTAGACTGCCCATGCATAAAATCCAACCAACATACATATGTACGATCAACCTATTATGGGAACGAAAAGCGATGGTCGCCAGATTGATTGGCTGTAGAAAGGATTCCTACACCGTACTATCTGCATTCCTGATTCGTCGGCTTCCAAGCGACCAATACCACCCTGCGTCAGAAGTGGATGTCAAGTGTCAATGATGTTTTGTACAGGTCAGCTTTTCAGTTCAACTCTCATGAACAACGTCCCATTTAATCCCGGACGTGCATGCTGTATGATTCTGTAATTCCTCCCATTTGCCTCTTCTCTGGGTATCGCCCTCATATCCCCAATGCCGATAACACCCTCTTCTCCATGACACGAGGTTCTCCATGACACGAGGTTGTCGAATATTAGGCAATGAGTTGCATCTCATCCTGCGGCATTTGGCGCTCGTCTCGTGCCAAAAATGGCTCGGGACAGCCCACGACGAATAAGGCTTCGAAAGCACAGGGCACATTGCTTGCGAGGCCTGTAACTTGTATGATGACTACTATGATATGACTACGGTCCCTACTCTACTCGCGCTGACATGACCAGCGAATAAAACAATTCGGACACACTCTGTGCATTCAATTGTGACTCCTAGTTCATCTACGCCCGTGCCCACTGCCAGCAGCACGAGAAGCCAAAACACCCTTAAAAGAAGCTCTTCCAAGATTAGTCCTCAGCAGCCGGTGAATCCAGCGACCGGTCAGACTCATGCATTAACAGATCTATGGCAGAAGGCAATAGCTACACTTGACGACAACGAACGAGTTGGACTGGCGACCAGCAATGCTTCGATGACTGCGCGTGACATAGTAGACGAGATGATCATCCTCGCTACAAAACGACAGCAACAGTGTGAAAAGAGCCAATGGAAAACATTCACAGTTTGTGGTTCCGAGATCTCACTTAGCGACACGGCTAGCAAGATTATTATCTGGCTTAACAAGTTTAAGGAGATAGGGGACATCATTGTGCAGGCCGATCCCGTACATGCTGCTATACCCTGGGCCATTGCAAGATTTGTTCTCCAGGCTATTATCGTCACCAAGGAACAGATGGCTGCATCTCTTGCAATTATGGAACGCGTCGCCCGGATCGTACATAGATGCCAGGTATTCCAGGAATTATATAATCGCAACACACTGGACCAGGCCGCCGTCGAAAATCTTGAGTCGGCGTTGATTAAACTCTACGCCTCAATTCTGCGAGCGTTGCTCGAAATGAATAAAATGCTTTCAAAATCTGCCCATACCAAATCGCTCTACGCTGTCTTTCACCCGGATATGGGTTCTAGTCTCCTCGACAGTCTTGAGAAGGGGGAGATTCTAGTCGACCGAGAAGTCAAGGCATGCGAGGGTCAACGTAGGGCCAAGGTGGATGCAAGAATCGAGGAGCAGCTACGCGGGCTATTGGAACTTAGGGAGCCAGTTCTCCGCATCGATAAAAATGTGAAACAGGTGCTTCAGAGCCTAGAGGTTGCGGAGCTAACACGAGTCTTAATTTGGATTTCTCCCATTGAATATAGAAGACACCATGATGCAGTACGGGAGTTGAGAACGAAAGATACATGCGACTGGCTGCTTCAACGCCCCAAGTTTGTGCAATGGAGCAGTGCAACTTCATCAATAACATTGTGGCTCCAGGGCTTTCGTGAGTAACCCGCATTCGTGATCCATTCATCTCTAGCTAACTGACATTAGCTGGCGCGGGGAAAACCTACCTCACGTCGAAAGTAATCGAGGAGACCCAGGCCACGCTTAAGGGGACTCCAAACGACGAAGGATTCGCATTTTTCTATTGCAATCGGAACGAAGAAAATCGCCGGAATGCCTTCGATGTTCTCCTGAGCTACGTCAGACAATTATCGACAACCGCCTACAGGTCGGGCCTCATTCACTCTGAGCTGAAGCAGCTATATGACAGTGCCCGATTATCCGGCTCTGGGTGGACGTTTAGCTCGTGTCAAGACTATCTGATCAAACTCTTAAATCTATACCCCCGCACCGTACTAATTCTAGACGCACTAGACGAGTGTCACTCTGAGGAGCGAACAAATCTCCTTGACTTCTTCGATTCTATCCCGAGCAAGTCTTCGAAACCTGTGAGGATCTTTATATCAAGCCGCCCGGAAGGTGATATCCAGCAGCGTCTCTCCCACCTCTCAACCATTGAAATCCAAGCAACTGATAACGGAAACGATATCGCCAAGTTCGTACGGCAAAACATAGAAAGGAACGGGCGCTGGAACGATGTTCTTCGAAAAGACCAACCCCTCAAGGATGAGATTATTCGAACCCTGTTAACTCAGAGCAACGGCATGTTCCAGTGGGCTTATTTGCAGATCAAACAATTGCTCGACCTACGTACGAAACATCAGATTATTGACCGTCTAGGGAAGCTTCCCAAAGATCTTGAGGCGGCTTACGATCAAATCTATGAAAATATCGAAGCCCTGGACGCGCATTCCAAAGCCGTGTCACTCAGAGCCCTCAAGTGGATCGCGTGTGCCTACGAGCCACTTACCAACGAGGAACTTCTGGCCGCCGTTCACGTGGACCCGGAAGAGGGGTTCCAAGAATCTTTCGAGGCGACGGAGGCTGATATTCTCGACTGGTGCGCGAATTTGATTCGAGTCGACTCCCAGCACTACCCTCCCGTGTGGCGGGTCTCTCATCTGTCCGTCGTCGAGTATTTTGAAAAGCGCTGGAAAGCGCTAGAAGCTCATTGTTTCGTCGCAAAGGCCAGCTTGGCGTTGCTGCTACAAGACGCACCGGGAGACGAACAGGGAGACTCCCCACAACCGACCAGCGTCTTTCATCCGGACCACGAGCTTCAGGTCTACGTGAGGTATTTCTGGGCACGTCATGTGCAAACTCAGGAAAGTCAAGTTATAGACCCCGAGTTAGCGAGCCTTTTGAAAAAGTTCTTCGGATCCCTAGAACAGTCCAGCGCACAGTACCGTCGGTGGCATGGCGCGTTTGCCCAGGACTGGCTGAAGAACTCTGATGGATATTTTATTCACTTTAGCGACATCTCTCCCAGCACATCCCCGGCCTCTTTGGCCTGTTGCTTTTCGTTTTATAACCTCCTGCGCGACTGGTGGGACGCAGAACCGCTCCAAGTATCGCAACTGACAACAAGCGGGAACAATCTCCTCTGTCTCGCTGCTGTCGCGGGATGTAAGCCTCTCTGTATTAGGCTGTGCGAAGCAGGGATCTCAGTCGATGAGCAGCTGCAGGATATCCGCGTTGGCAGCGCCCTTGCGGCAACTGTAATGCGTGGAAACATTGAGATTGTGCAGCTTTTAATCGACAGAAGGGCAAATATCAACATGCCGTTACAGTATGGTCAGTTTGGTAGTGCCCTAGCAGCAGCTGCAGCGGGTGAGAATATTGAGATCGTGCAACTTTTGATCGATGAAGGAGCAGATGTCAATATGCAAGTACAGTATGGAACATTTGGCAGTGCCCTTGTGTCAGCTGCAATCCATATAAATGTCGAGATTGCGCGGCTTTTAATCGACAGAAGGGCAAATGTCAATATGCCACTAGAGTATAAAACATTTGGCAGCGCCCTTGCGGCAGCGGCTGCGTATGATAACACCCGTGAAATTGTGCAGCTTTTAATCGAGAAAGGAGCAGATGTTAATCTGCCACTTCAAACGGGCGACTTTAGCAGCGCCCTTGCGGTAGCTGTATTGAATAACAACAACAGAATTGTGCGGATTTTAGTCGATAATGGAGCAGATGTTGATATGCCACTCCAGAAAGGGGACTTTGGCAGTGCCCTTGCAGCCGCTGCACACTTAGGGCTTGTTGGTATTACGAAAATATTAGTTGCAAATAACGCCGATATAACTATTCATCTACAGAACGGGCTGTATCGGACGGCTTTGGAGGCTGCTCGGGCGCCTGTAGATGGGAAGTATTGGGCACCGGACCCAGGGGCTCGGGAAAAACGCAAATCTGAAGTGGTTTGCTTCCTTGAAAGTAGCATAGAAACGTTAGAATAAGAGGAATCGAAACATTTAAAAGCGTAAATCTAAATACCGATGCCCTAATCTACCTTTCCTAGAACTTTAGAAGAGTTGAAGGCGGCCATCTAATATCATCATGTATGTGTATAAAAGTCTGATCTTAGTCCATCGATGACGGGAAAATATATAAGGCGCTTTTCTGAATCTAACATTTGATATATTCAGCAAATCCGTCCGCTGTTCGGCAGCTTCCTTATTGTATCATCATCTGGATTGACAATGAGATATTCAAACATCTTGGATACTTCGTTCCTATGACCGTAGTGTGCAGAATATTCGGTCTATTTAGACTGGAAAGTGAGAATATGATATTTTGCGATCCAGGACTGGCAGGGATATGTTTGTCTAGCAATTATGTGTGGTATAACTGACGGCACGTTCCAATCTGCGATTCACTTAGCTATATTGTAGTCGCTTTGCCAGTTTCACTAACTACTGTTCCATACGAGCAGTATATTTCGCCTGCTATGTAGGGCCTAGCTTGCACTCGGAGTTTGTAAATATAATAAGAATTGCTTAATTCATAAGCTATATTGCCGTGATCATCACTTAGAACGAAGAGCATATATGTACATAGCTATGGACTAGCCCGCAGAGATAGTCAGAGTTTTGGTGCAACAACAATTATCAATACATACCCTTTCTAAAAACCCTGACACGTTTGAAAAGAAGTAAAATGGCATGATTACATATTTCGTAAAGCTATTCTTATACAATTAATTCTCTTTCGACTATTCGAGTCTCCTTATAATCTGTAAATCTCCTAGCTTATAGGATAGGGAGTGAGACCTTCATAGCCACGACGAAATTATTACAATTCGAATATCCTTCTAGCCATTTTTATAGCCATCGCTTAGAAACTAATGAGCAGTCTTTCCAACTTTTCTCCCGGCCTGCCACGTTTGCCATGAATAGACAGATGATGGACAATCGTCGCCTAGTTCACATCATGAGAACACACACATATCTATCTGGCTGTGATGGCCTCCACAAGACGACATATTATACTGCAGGCATCGAAACCTTCTAATCGGCGCAATCTCTCTCCGTGTTGTCACTACACATTATTTAGATCAGACAGCGTTTACTATTTCACCTCAGCTACGCACTAAGACTATCCCTTCATATAAGCCAAGTCCGATTCACGATGCAATAGTGCCATTTCTCTCTCTATATATAGTCTTAGATTATATTCGGGCTGATCGTAAATGTTGTCAAGTTGTCGCCAAGAGGCCAATGACATGTTCTCATGTATACTATACAGCCAGAGTAGTTCTACAAAGGTGTTTTAAAGCTTTTCGCTCAACAACAAAGGTTTATTGCCTACCACATAAACAAGCATTATCACAATAAGTATTTGGAAACAATTATTACTGCCCTGAACAAAGCTGCACGTCCAAGTTGTTAGTTAGCCATTATGCCTATCTTATTCTAGATAGGCCCTACCAAGAAAAGTTAGTAAGCACAGCGAGTGGATCACTTCCACACATGCCCACCTCCACAAACACAATTGCCGGTACCCATGTTACAATGACCAACCAACGGCCAATAAGAGAACAAAACTAAAACTAAAAAGAACGAGAAAAAAATTAAATCTTATGGACGAACGGGGATTTGAACCCCGGACCCTTCGCAGGCAAGTCGCTATCCGAATCCAGACAGACGGTAATGCAAAGCGAATATCATACCCCTAGACCATTCGCCCGTTGATATCATGCTAGAGCTGTAACAATGCTCATAGCGGAAAAGATTTGCCTCCAACGTTCCCCGCTCGCTGACGTAGAGATGAAGCTGTTTTGGCTTCGCTTTGCGATGGCATGCAGGTGGGAGAATTTGTTTCCTCCAACCAAGATTATGTGGATTTCTTCCTTGCACTATTGCAACACAGGTTACGTAGGGTTTGGTGCGTTGTCGATGTACCTACTCATAAAAAGGAAATAAGCAATCGCTCAATAAGTTCCCGTGTGCGCACTATAGGTATACAACCTATTCCATTTCCAACCCGCATAATCTTAATACATACAAGCAAGAAACATGGTGTAAAAATTACTCACCAATGAATGCATCGCGCGAAAACTTCCCAGGCCGAACTCACAGCCCCGAACTCCACACCAAAACGCGGGTATTGATTACATTAATTATAAAAATACAACTATAACTACAAAGGATGGTGTGCTATAATTAATTGTATATAAGCAGGTACAACATGCGTACAATCAAAACAAACTCAGTATACCTACGTATTGCTAGCCTTGCAATGTGCCAGCAGTATAATACAACAGTAAAATACAACGATAATATACATATATCATCATGCACGTACATACTACATACTTACTCTAGATAGCCACTCACATCATCCCCCGAAAGGCACCCAGTTGCGTAACGGAGGAAGCGGTAGTCTGAGCGTCGAGGCTGGGACCCCTACGGCTAGGACCATCGCGACTATCTCGCCAGTTCTCGACAGTCGCAGGCTGTGGGACTACCCTGTTGGGGACTTCCTCATGAACCTCGGTCTCGAGCGGACTCCAGGCCCCGCTCGAGACGGACGTCACGCTGTATCTGTCGTGTGTGGAGCCGGAGCCGGAAGTCCGTGACGTGGACCCCATACCATGTCTATCATAGACGGAACTGGAGACGGATGATATGCTATCTCTGTCATAGACAGAGCTAGGAGGGCGTGGCGGGGCCCTCGTGTGCTGGGTCGGGGGTGTTGGCACCGGCGTTTGGGTTCTATCGTGACTAGTCCGACTGCGTTGGCCTTGTTGACTGCGACGACTATGGTGAGAGACAGTTGAGTTCTGCTCCGGCTCGCCCTCTTTCGCCTTGAAGCGATTCATGAGGAACGCATGGCGTTGCGCCGAGAAGGTAGAGTCAACGTCCGAGCTGGGGAGGAAAACTTTCCGGTTCGGGCCTGGGTTATCTCGTGCCGTCGGGGGATAGCGACGACCGTGTGGCGGAGCGGGCCAGTTCAGCGGTGCGTCCTTGCCCTTCGTCGATGACGGCGTAGGATCCTTGGGGTTGGTCCTAATCGTTGCTTTGTCTCTGTGCTGGCGCGAACTAATTGTCGACTGTTGCCTATTCCGGACCGTGGAACTCGTCTTAGTTCTACTCATTGGTGGGCGTGAGGAAGCCCCGGGTGTCTTACTACCAATCTCTGACGAGCCTCCCCGATGTTTATACGTAGAGGGTATCTTCGGCACCGATGGTATGTTTTCAATACTGGGCTGGACGGTGCTCAGACCCACTGTGTGAACGGTACAGTCAGTCCACGCACTTACCGTCGTCCCGCCATCTTCGGTGGTCCTGGTTGGTGGAGCACGACCCTTTTTAACATGAAGCGGGTCGGGAAGAGCAGACTCGGCAATATAACTACCGCCAGGGCGGAAAGCAGGGTGTACCATTGTGACCACGGATCTCGTATCGTCCTGTCCGAGATCGAGTTGAGACTCGCGTAATATGTTGGACCACCATTCTTGGACTTTAGCTCGGCTTCTCTCTTCCTGCTCATAATCTCTTTCGTCCTCCTCCTGTTCTACTTCCAAGTCGTAGGGGCCAGGCTCGTCGTCGATGGGGATCTCTTGCTCGAACCGATTCAGAAAGGATTGGGTAGGTAAACCGTTGCTAGTCCTACTGTCTCGGACGCGTTCGGGGGCAGGCGAGCGGGGACCGGGTGGAAGGTCGCGAACAGTACGTTGTCGTTCATACACTTCGGAATATCCGGAGAGGCTATCAGGACGATAAATACTTCTAGTTCCGTTCATGTACATGGCGGACCGTCTCTGATCTGCAGCGCTCTCGACATTTGCCAAGGCCACAGGAATCCCGTCTCGTGTTCGTCTCTTGTGCCTAGAGGTAGTGGGCAGAGCAGCGATCCTGGCTCCTGTTTTAGTTCTCCTAAGCTCGGTATATACGGAGCGTCTCTCAGCTCGTAATGTGGAGAGTCGTTGCTTCTGTTCGGCTCGCCAGGCTTCAATTTGCGGCCTAGCCGTCCTCAATTTGCTAACAACGGCGTCGCTCAAAGCCTTGCATTCTTCAGGCCGACCCACTCCCTCACCGTGCTTTCGGAGATGACCGATCCAAGCTTCCACCACACGGTATAGACGAGGTTCCCTTCCTGAAGGGAGTTCCCTGTGTCGTTCCATCCGATCTACGAGTGCCGCTCGAAGGTCCGCCAGGGCTCGACCGCTCGCACCAACAGCCGCAAGACAGCATGCTTCACAGGCAGATCTCACGAATACGTGGTGGCCATCGAAGGGGGCGAGTCCATAAATCTCGTGGAAAAGTCGCGGTTCAGTCCACAATGCTGCTATTGAATCAAGTCGACCTACAAAAGCAGAAAGCTCGGGCGCCAAGGTCCTGCCCGGCCATGAACGCAAGGCATCCGTGTGGACTGTCACTTCATACGCAAGAGCGATGAAGAGTCTCCGAATTAAGAAAGGGTTAAGGTTAGAATGCGTTTTACAGAGAATGGCTCGCGGGTCCACAATATTTGGATCAATGCTGTCGGCGATCTTTGTGGCTAGGCGTTTGAGAAGGTTTGACGACCTTAACAATTCTTTAGGAAGATGTTTCATCTTCTCTTCTTGCCTTTGCAGCCATCGTCTAGAAGGTATAGCAATACCATATTCGGGACGTCGTGCAAGCACCTTAGTGATGTGGACGACAAGTTCGTCCGACAAGTCTCGAATCCCAATGCTCATGAAGGGGTATACATAAGACAATGGAATGTTTCGTAACGGGTGGTCTGAGTCAACAGGGTGACTTCACATATAGCAATAGAATGGATTTAGGCTGGTAAATCAATTTTATGTAGGCAGTTCTGCTTAAATTGAGGTGTTAGTAGAAACTGGTAACGTGCGGAATGGACTCGTATTGTACCTTTCATATACCTCACTCGTTCTAAAACAACTGGCCTAGACAATGACCGTTGTGACAAAGACGTTGAATGTATGTTCTGCTGGCGCCACAACAGCAAGCGAGTATTCTTTGTTCGAAGGGCATACATGATGTAGTCATCTCGTCTTAGAAACCTGTATGTTGTTGTCTATAGTCGAAGTCGATGTAGATGCCAAGCCCACGGACGAAAAGGGATCTCGAGGCGCCATAGAATCTAAGTAGAAGTAGCGACGGCTCGATCTCAAAGGGATATGTACTTACTAGAATAAACTAGTGTTCCATTCGGCTGTGAAGTACCCGTTTTCTGGGCTCGACTGAGTCCTCGGCCACCACACAATGAAGCACGAGTGTCCAACCATGATGTGTCGGTCCATGTACCAGTAGCAACAATATTGCCTGGGGCAAAGTATATATTCAGACGACCTTATACGTCACTGCCCTTTCATCATCAATGTCCTTTGGCAAATTTCTCTATGGAAAGTGACTGCACGTCTTCGATACAACCACCTAATGCTAGACAAAAACGCCGCTCGGGTATCACCCTTCATGCACGCTGAGAAAGATTATGGGCATCATAACCGCAACATATGTATCATAAAACCCTGGGCCCCGGTGAAGTGTACATGTTTCCTTGCTGATACCAACGTCGTTCAAGTTTTGTTCCACTACACTGCGACTGGAACTCGGGAGGTATGGTAATCGCTATCTCTCATACGTTCTAGACGTATTTTTAAAGCCTCGGTCCCATCATCAGGAATAGCATTCTCTCTAAACCACGGATGTGCCAAAGCCTGGCGGGCAGTGATCCGTTTGGCCGGATCATAGACGAAAATCTTCTGCAGAAGATCCAAGAAGAGCCGAAGAAAAGGACTGGTTGCCGGGATAATATCCTACCATCGCATTAGATAAAGCTTAAAATGGTATATCATACGAACTTACACCTAGACGCTTCATGTTCCTGACAAATCGTCTCGAGGCTCTCGTTGTCTCGGCCGTGGGGTAATCTAATTTCAGACGTTTGAAATACCTAGTTTTTGTATTAGAACGCCATTCTTCATTCCATGAGCGGTGCAAAACATACTTGGCGGGGGAATTGCTATTGCTACGTGACGCCGATTTGTTCACCATCTGCACAAGATGTGTGTCGATCCGGCTGTCACACACGTTCTCCATCATGGCAAGATGCTCCAGGTTATCGTGAGTCTGGAACAAGGCGTCCCCAGTAAAGAACTCGACCAGGATGCATCCTATACTCCAGATATCACACGGGAAAGACCAACCAAGGCCGAGTATAATCTCAGGAGCACGATAATGCCGCGTCGAGACAACGGAGGAATGATACTCATCATCGAACGTGGCTGACCCAAAATCTATCAAACGGATTTCAGTGTCGAGAAGAACCTTCCGTTGTGTGGCTTGCCGGTTTGTTCCGTTGGTTGATGACGGTATCCGCCGGTTATAGGTGAAGGTTTGATAGGCGCTGTCACAAAGGAGGATGTTCTCGGGTTTCAGATCCGTGTGGATGAGGTTCAGGTCATGGAGAACTGGGCAGCATACGTCAGCGGGAAATACTCATGACTGGCTCGAGTATACTCACAAGCGACGCTTGTTAATAATTGGCGGGCAAAACTCTGGATTTGGCTGTTAGGGAAAGGAACAAAGTTGTTGCCTTTTAGAAAATCAAAAACACTGGAGCCCAGCAGATCCATTACTATGCAGATGTGCCCACGGAAATCAAAGCAGTCTCGTAGATGGATGCATCGATTACGGTTTTCCTCGTCGTTGGCTTTCAGAGTCTGGAGCACC